AGGGGACAATGCGGCAGGACATGCTGGGAAGATGAACAGCTACGTAGGGGGACTGTATTGCCACAGTACATGAAAGAGGAGCATGGGCATCCCAGATTTCATGACAGGGACGAAGCTGCTCCCACTTAGCTCCTAGGCGGCCATCGAGGAGACAGAGACATTACCTGGCTGCTGAAATGGCTACCAACCTGAGGCAGGTTTGCCGATGTAAATTTTAAGAGCTGTTTTTTAAATTAAAACTCCTGCTTTAATGGTTAACTCCCAACTAGACCTTGCTGTAAACAGAGGTGGCTTCCAGGGGAGCCCACCAAGGTCCAGAGGAGAGACGCATCCCTGCTCTGCTCCTGCTGGGACATGGGGCACACACAAGAGGATCCACCACAAAGAGCAAAGACTTGGGAAAAAGCAGCCAGGGCAGCAAGGAAACACGGGGCAAAGCCACTGTGAGGGGGCTGGAAGGAGCCCAAAAGGGCAGAGGCCAAGGAGGCAGAGCAGGTTCAGGGAGGAAAGGCATCTCTACCAGCTCCCCCCCCAGCACCCAGCCTACAGCACATGGACAGTAAACAGAGGAAGGCAATGCATTAGGACATGCCATCAGCATCCTCCAATTGGGATCATGCCTACGGACTTACTCTTCATTTGTCACCCAGTAACTTTGCAAAGCCTGTCAGGTTTAGCAAAAGCCTCTCCCCCGTGGCCGCCTGCCCCTTCTGTGTCTGGCAGAGCCCCCTCGCTCTCGCCAGGCTGCCTAGCCCAAGGGACTGCCAAAAAGGATGGTCCCCCCTTTCAGAGGAGAGGGACAAAGGGACCAGGCCATGCCCAGGATGCCTTCCCCTCCTCCCTGGGCGGGCAGCCCCTCCTTGCTCCAGTAGTTATAAAAGGGCTCTCGATCCATGTAATCCATTAGATACAAATTACAGCAATTTAAGCACACTTGACCCAGAATTACAGCAAGCCCATAAAGAGCTGTGTCTTCCCAGGCAATTTACACTGTTACAAGCCCTCAAACAAACCGCAGCAGTGGATTAAAAAACAAGAAGAAAAAAAAAAAACAAACAAAAAAAGGCAAACCAAACCCAGCAAACATGATGCTTGAAACAGCATTATCAAGAAATGAAAACCATTACGAGGATTAGTTCATATCCAGGTGGTCCTAAAAACGCCAGTATTGCACAGTCTCCAATCACTGTGTGTCTTGCAGCTACCTTAAACCATTAAATCACAGCCACTTGAAAGAAGATGTCGTGAAGCACAGCACTACATAACCATTTGGGAACGGGGACCGCAACCCCAGCCCAGGGGACACAGGCAGGAGGGACAGTGCTGACCCGGTGAATGCTCACCCTCCCGGGGTGGCTCCCGGCTATGAGTCCGTCCCGCCCCGTAGCAGCTCAGGCCAACACAGATCCCAGCAGCCAGGAGGCGGATTGCAATCCTTCTATACATTTATTTATTTATTTTAAAATTACTACTAGCCCTAGATGGCATCCCAAGGAAGAGAAGCAGCAGAGGACAGGCCACCATCCCACCAGCCTTGCAGGTATCACAGTATTGACTTATGGACCACTGCAGGCAGGTGGCCACTGGCCATCACATCAGGCAGAGACTTGAGGCAGCGACACTCCGCAGTTATACTAGATACACAGTCTGCCTTACATGGAAAAATAAAGCCATCAGCATTAAAAAAAAAGGTGCAAGTTGATTTCTTCCAAGAGTCAGAGATTGATTTATCCAGGTTCAGGCTTCCTGCAGCAGCCATGCCCATCAGCTTCCACACACACAATCCGTGATCCTCAGGGTCCCCAAGATGCTCCAGGACTGCCTGCGCCAGCAGGACCCGAGTGTCTGTCACTCCTGGCTGTGGAGATGTGCCAGTGGCACGGGTCTTCCCGGGGACAAGAATTAACGCTGCGGTTTTGTGCTGGCAAGCAAGGGGCACGAGCAGGGCAGCAGCCCCCGGTGCTGGCTGTCACTGATCTGGTTGCTGGTGTCACCACCGGGGGATACTGCCACATTCACACCTAGGGGATGCAGGAAGGTAGAGGGAAGAGGGTGGCTTTGGGGGGAGAGTGACAAACAGGGCCAGGAGTTACTGGAGGACACATGATAATCAAAAGCATCCAAACAGATGGAAGGGATTTGTATGTGCCTTGCTCTAAAATGTCCAACACCAGATGCTATCATGAGAAAGGAGCCAGGACCACGCCCGAGGTCTTGCCTGGTCCAGCAAGTCTTACATCCAGTTAAAGCAATTAGAGGATGGTGATGGAAACTTCAGTGCCATCAAGTCTAAGAAATGACCAATGCACTGAGAGGTTGCACCTGCCACAATTAATGCACCAACTTGCCCATGAGGACAAAAGCCAGGTTGGCTCAGCCGAGGGGCAGGAGCAGGACCCTGCCCTGGGGGCGTGGAAGGACTCCTCTTGCTGCCCTGGTCAACTGTCCCGACTTAGGGCCACAGCACCCATCACAGCACAAAACGAGACTCTGATTACAAGAGTCTCATTATTTGCTCTCCTTTTCCCCCTTCATTGCTACTAGAAGTGTAAATATGGAGGCTGGTCCACCAGAGAAACGCAGAGCAGCTTGCGTGCGCGTGCCATCGGCAGGGCTCTCGCGGCACGGAGCTGTACGTGTTCGAGCAAGAGAGGCACAGACCTGTTAAATCAGGGCCTTTCAAGGGCTGCATTTTTTCATTCTAACTCTTTGGGAGACAGCACCTCACATGCCACCAACACCACCACCTCTCTGGTTCATTTTGCATTTGAAGCTTGTAACCATTCCCATTAATTTTAATTATTAATTCTACGTATGGGAATTTTTCTTTAAAACGTGATCGTAATGGCAATGGTTACGTGAAGAAAAAAAAAAAGCAATACTTGAAGGAAGGGAGCACATGCCTTCCTCAAAGCCAGCAGCATGCCTCGTCCCTACCCGTATGGTTTAGTTTACGAGCTCATGTCAGAGAGCCAATTTCACACACAAACACAAAATAAAAGCAGGAACACAACTTTTGATCATCCTATATTGATGTTTACTCTTGTTTCCTGTAGCCCCAGGTGACAAATCTGTCCTTTATATAGTGGAGGATCATTGTGCTATTAACAAAGTCAACTGGACACGTTTAAAACTCACGGCAGGTCTTTGCATTGGTGGCTTGTACCAAACTAAGGAATAATAATTAGTAAGCAATTAGATGTAAAACGATAAATATAAATTCAGAAACATGTTTTTTTTCTGAGCAGAAATGCTCGAAAGCAGGAGAATTTACAAGCAACTTCCTTACATATGAACACTTACGCCAAGAAGGGAGATGTTGGAGAAGTCAGCCCCTCCAAACACAAGGGCTTTTGTTCCACCATTCTCTGAGCTCTGAAGAAGTTTGATTTTTTATTTTTTTTTTTTCTTCATTTAATTTTGCCGGCCTGCCAGCTGGGTCGAAGCCAGAAGGGTTATCCAGTCAGACCTTACTGCGACGTATTTACAATGGTAGTGCATCTAACGTTTGTTTATTTCGGGATTAAAATTCAAATGGCTAGAACCATTTAAATAATTAAAGGGCAATCAGAAAATGCCATGAAACCAAACAAATCAGGAAAAGTCATGGAAACCATCAGCAATATTTAATTCAGAAATTCTCTTTGTTAGGGAACTTAGCTGAAAGAAAACAGCTGGATGTAGTTCAACCCTCTAAATTAAAAACAATCTAACAAGGTCTATAGGGATAACTCTTTCAGCTACATATTGGAGACCAGATTCACTTCTACCAAGTAAATGTAATAGCACTCAAAGCTAGAAAGGAAATTCCTCAGAACTGAGGTAGTTTCTAAGTATCAGCACATTTTCCAATTCCTCGCAAGGCAACTTAGCTATTTACAATCCATTTTTTCCCACACATAAATTTATAACTTTTTCAATTTTATGCTTCCATGATTTATTTTCTAAAGAAAAATAATCTAGCCAGAATATCCCTACTCTACTAACATCATGTTTTAATAAATAACTGGCTACTTCTAGTAAAATTAAGCCTCCAGGATTGTTTATACCAGCCAAGAATACTCCGTCTTTATAGCTTTGCAGAAATTTGGTGTGAAAATAAAGTTGAATATAACGCTGACCCTGAGCTAACAAGTAATTAATGCTTCAATATAAAAATAGAAAATTATCCTTACAACACAAGGGTGGAACAGAGAAGACCCTCTCTCTCTGGATTGCTCTCCTGGCCAGATCCCAGCGTCCGGCCAGACCTAAAGGCTACCTAAAGCAGGAGGAGACGTGCAGAATAATTTTGAGTCTTTCCAAAGACTTTGTTTTCCCTAAACTATTTTAAAAATTATTTCATCTCTTTTCTTAAAAATATTTTTTTTTATTAATGAGTTGCCGTTCACCACAACACTGTTCCAGCTGCGAGAGGAGGGTGTCTCAGGTAGTGCCGAAAAGTTACAGGCACTGGGCACTGGCTCCCAGGAGACCAAATACACCGAAATGGAGGCGTCTTCAGCCCTGCCAGCTCCTGCCTGCTCCTACTCCCATCTGCCTGCAACAGTCCCGCGGGTCCCTGCCCGCCTGCTCCTTCCCTTTTGCCCCCCATCGGAGAGGAAACAAAGCTCTTGCAAAAACAAACCCGACACCCCCCCGCCTCCCCTCCCACAAAGTATTACTTAAAAAAAAAAAAATTAAAAAATTAATCCAGCATTCATCTAACAAATTTGCAGACAAGACACATGTTGGCATTTGGATCTGCGACACAAGTTGCTTCCAACCGAACAAGTTTAATGCCTTATTCCCACGGGGGACGCATGTCGGGAACTGACCTACAGGAGTTACAGCTAATTGCAAGGATCCCGGGGAACAAACGACAACTCTTCTTAGCGTCTGCGGAACTGGAGTTCTCTGTAGTCTCTTTCAATTTCAAAAACCTCCTGTAAAGAAAGTACAACCTGCTCCTGGCATTAACGCCCTACGCAAACGGGGCACTTGGCACACTGAGCAGCTCTGCCTTCACCTTCTGTTTTACCGCATAATAAAGACAAATTACTTCCACTTCTTTCCAGATAAGGCAACTAACATAATGTGGATAAATGGGAAGTTAACTACATGAAACATGTTTTCTGCTCGTTGGGCAATTATTTTCTCCCCATAAGATAACATGATAAATAAAACCTGCTTCTGTACAGATATTTCTCATTTCAGAAACATATACTTGTTACAGGCCAAGAGAAGACCCTGGGGTTTTTTTGTTTTCGTAAGAAACATGGTAAAATAAAAAAAAAAAAAAAGTGATAAAGACACAAATGCAGAGCTAACTACAGGCTTGTATATACATTTTTGTTATCCACTTCTAACATGGACTCTTGGTGAACGGGACAGACTGGTAGTCCCCGTTCCTGTTATTCCCAGAATAGAAGGGGAAAAAAAAAAATCAGTATCTTAAAACCAGTGGCAACATAGTAAAAACTGTACACTGTTGTCCATTAACTTAAAAAGCAAAGTCCCTAGATGGTATAAAAGTGAAAGCAGGTGCCTTCTAACTTTGATAATAAAAGTCTTTTTCGCTCCCCCCCTATGCTGCACAATTATCTCCATTGTCTTTGCATGGCCAAGAACAAAATGCTAAGGAGCAAGGCTGCTTGTGATAAACCGCTCCTGGTAGCGGCAGAAGTGTTCACGTTCTTATCGCTCTTGTTGGAGTTCCCGGTGACTTCGGTGGCATTGAACTCGAACTCCGGGGAGCACTGCTGGAGCTCGCAGCCGCTGCCGCTCTCCTCCCCGCTGCTCTCCTCACCTGCGGGAGACAAACACACGCTGTCCTCCTCTGCCGTCTGCAGTGCGATGCTTCGCTTGCAGAAGGCAGCGGTGGGGGGAAAAAGGCAAGCGCGTGGATGTTTCGACATTTATGAGACGCAAGCGCGGGTCCTCTGGTTAATGCGACTGCTGCATGCCATTCATCACAGCCATCCGTACTGGTGAAGGAAAAGCTGGACATAAGCTGGCAACGTGTGCTTACAGCCCAGAAAGCCAGCTGTCTCCTGGGCTGCATCACAAGCAGCGTGGCCAGCAGGGCGAGGGAGGGGATTCTGCCCCCTGCTCCGCTCTGGTGAGACCCCACCTGGAGCCCTGCGTCCAGCTCTGGGGTCCTCAATATGGGACGGACATAGACCTGTTAGAGCGGGTCCAGAGTGTTTAGTAGGGCCTGTTGTAATATAACAAAAGGTAACAGTTTTAAAGTAAAAGAGGGTAGATTCATACTAGACATAAGGAAGAAATTTTTTACAATGAGGGTGGTGAAACACTGGAACAGGTTGCCCAGAGAGGTGGTAGATGCCCCATCCCTGGAAACATTCAAGGTCAGGCTGGACGGAGCTCTGAGCAAACTGATCTAGTTGAAGATATACCTGCTTATTGCAGGGGGGTTGGATTAGATGACCTTTAAATGTCCCCTCCAACCCAAACTGTCCCATGATTCTATGGGAACGACTCTCCTTGCGCAGCCTGCCAGAGACGTCGGTTTCCACCCTCCTTACTAACGTCCTTACCCATAGCTGAAGCTTAACCAGCTACCCCATGTTAGCATGAAATCCGATTAAAGAGGGAAAAAGAAAAAGGCAAACAACAGCAAACATACTTATGTCAATGAAGTCGACATCATTCCCACTGTACGCATTCTTCAGCTTGTTGGTCATTACCCGCAGAGCCATGATTTGTCGGCGAATCACCATGTCTGGCTTGGTAATATCGACTTCTACCTCTGGGTTATTCACTTGACTTGCTAAGCCATTTCCAGTCACTGCAAAGTCGTACCTGAAAAGAAACCGTTCCTGCTGGTACCAGAGCTGCAGCTCGGTGGGGTGCCGCGCCGAAGGGCGAGAGCGTGGGAACTCAGCGATGCCACCCCCGTTTCCAGCTTGGGCGATACCCTGGGCCTAACGCGATCTTCCCACGTGCTAACCCTCACGGAGCCCTTCTTTGGCTTCTTATCCCATGTCCCCCTCCCTGCAGCATGTGAAATTAAACACTGTTTTCATATACCGTGTGCCACAAAGGCAGGGGAAAGACAATTTTCTTCCCAACTTGAAAAGAGAAGGAAGATCTGGGGTTTATAATAATAAAGGCTTACAACAGCATAAATCAGCTCGCTGCAGGCAACAGAGCAAAACAAGCTGCTGAGATGCCTTGATGCCCAGTTAGATGTCACTTTTGGGAAAACAACCTTTGGGGCCATAGTTATCCCAGAGAAAACTAGAGTAACTATTGGAGGCAAGAACGTCATTCTGACTTTGCATAATGCACCTTAACCATCAAGCTGGAGTATTAAATGTGTACTTCTCACTATGCAGACATGAGATGCAATTTCCCTAATAACCCCAGCAGGAGAAACATCTGTGCTGTTGAAGAAGAGATAACATAACCCCATGCATTGAAGCGGAGAAGAGCTGAGCTGCTCTGCCCGAGGAGGTGTGCACGCTCAGGTCTGAACACACGTATGGCCTCTTGGTTTAAAAAGAGAGACTGAGCAACAAAACCCAAAAGAATGCATCTCCTGAAACAGGTACTTGGAGTATCATCTTATAGAGCAGGGATATGACACTTTTTTTTCCTCCTCCAATGAGTTGACTTGCAAGAAAAATCACTTTTGCTTAGTTATGATGCCAACATTACTTTTGCTTAGTTATGATGCCACCATCAGTATCATGAGAGAGGGAAAAGTCTTTAGCACAATCTACTGATCCCAGAGACCAGGCGGTGAGATATAATCATACGTCTGAAGGGCATACTCAAACCCTGTCCTATATTTGGGAGGGTTTATTATTATTATTATTATTACTATTATTGTGATCAGTATTATATGTGGTGAAGAGGTCAGAGAGAGACCAAAGCGTGGAAGACTACTGAACTTTTAGCTTATTAGAGCCACAGAGAAAAGAGTAACAGCAAAGCAAAACATCTGGCACAGCCCACATAGGATGGCAGTGAGCAAGGTCCAGCCTCCCCCAGACACCTGCCTCTGTCTCCTTGCCCAGTGCTGCCGAGTCTCCAGCTCCACTCCTTGCTGATGCCAGACCTCACACACTGGGGGAATCTGCCACTAAAAGCCCTGTACAAGCTGCTGATAAACAAGCCCTCAGGAGGGCAGAGTCATTTCTTGTTGCAGAGACCCAAACCATCGCCCCAGCCGAGCGAGGCAGTTTCAGGCAACACGAAACAGTGCAAAACTTATGCGGTATGGCTTGGTTCTGTGCCCCAAAAATACCAAGGACAAAAACTGTTATAACTTAAAAAACTGCTGGAAAACCCTCAACAACTATTTTTTTTTAATGGAACATCTTGGATTTTGCTTATTTCCTCAGTAAGCAAACAGAAAAAAAAGAAACTTTTATTTCCAAAATAAAAGTTAAGCAGTTACATAAACCATATGACAGAAAACCTGTGGCTTATTCATGTGTTGGTAATTTCTTCCTTAGAAGAGGGGGGAAAAAAAATATTTGTAACTATTTTTCCATAAAAAGCGTGCATGAAAATCACTGGCCCCCTCGTGCCACTGACCTCAGGAGTGGAGAAGCGGACCTGTTACCCATCCCCATCTCCCTTGCCCCTGCTCAACAAGGAACTCAGCAGTAGCTCCTATTAGAAACACCAACTGGGGGCACTGGGGGCAACAGCGCTGTCAGACAATACGAGCACCCCTGTTCTTTGGCTGAGCTACAGGATTTTGTACAAATCATGTCCCCAAACCTGTGAGCAACAGGTAAGAGGTTTAGGTCCAAGGAGAGGTGCTGTTATCTAGATATACAGACTCATTTCTCTCCTTTAAAACAAATCACCAGGTAGGTGTTGGACAACCCTTTAGCTTTGCATTCAAGCTCTCCCATCTACAAAAAAAAAGGATAACGGCCCCAGCCTGTCTCGGGGGAGCTGGGATCAGAGCAGAGGGCTCAGGGAGAGGAGCCGGCACGCTGGGAAAGGCTGGGGCGAGAGGGAGAGAGTTAACCGGGGACGGCAGCATTGCCAAACCTGCTCTTGGCGCTCCCGTTCCAGCACTCGTTCTCATTGACAGTGCCTACAGACATCTTTTCATCATTGCAAATGTTGCCAGGGAGAGATGACCAAAATTTTTTGGCTTGCTTCAGCTTCTCTTTCACATCAGTAACCTATTAAATAAAAGAAAAAAAAGAAACACAGGACATAATCCAGAATACCAAACGCTCATTAGAAGTAAAGCTGGAAAGGTATTTTTTTATCACAACAGACGTGTATAGGCCAGATCTTCAGGTTGCATGTTTGATGGTTGATTTACTTTTTTAATACAAAATTAAACACCGCTCCTCAAACACGTATTACTCATAAGCCAAGCCTTTAACACAGGCAGTTTTCTGACATACAAGGGTTGACGTAATTCACATCTAGAGCCACGGGCAGATTACACCCCTCAGAGAGTTTAAGACAGCCAAGGAATATTAAGAAACCCTATAAATTACAAATGGAAAATTATATGCTGCGGTACATGGGTGCGAAGCACCTGCATGGCATCAGCAGGACCAGGCACTCACCAGTCGGTCCAAGCTTGTGCCGGCAGCTGTAGTCGGCCGCTCCTCTGGGTTGTAGGGTCTAAAACGAGCGCTGAAACCACTTTCGGAGACGGAGCGAGCGGTCCGGCCCTGGGCAAGCGTTTTTGGCTGGCCGCATCCCTGGAAAACCTACATGAAAGAAGGAAAGGACTTTATGAAATAGGAGGTCACACGAGCCTCCCTTCTCCAGGCTACAGCCCAGCTCCTGCCCAAAATAATACATCAGCTTTATATATACTCCAAAGGACATTAAAGAAAAAACATTATTGACAAGAACAGGGAAATAAAACACATTGGATAAATAAAGCCTGAACGTCCTCTTGGCCCATTTACCTTCTGAGACACCTGCATGCTGTTCTCCTGCATGTTCATGATCGCATCTGAAATTTTCACATCAATGGGGTCCATGACTGACTCGATGTTGAAGGGACCCTCCAGCCTTTCTGCTACCAGCAGCATCGAGTCTAACACAAAGAGAGAAACAAAGGCTTTTAATGGAGGAGCTTCAAGGAGAACAGATAACAAGGATAACAGATTGAGCGCACAGACATTAACCACTGCAACGTTGCTTCTGACCAGCACACGTCTCCAGGAAACATTCTGCTCCGTTCCCAGAACCTACAACTTCACCAGGCACTTACAGGCTGCCAGCACCATGCCATGGACTCATATACATCAAAAGCCGCATTAAACGAGGGAGAGCCATCACAGCCTGCCAAAAGGCAGCCTGTAATCAGCTCCTCCCATTAGGACAAGCATTACTAACACGCTCCTCTCCATGCTCGTTTATTAAAGGTTTCCTTGTGTCATTTGTTTTTCAAGACTGCTTTCAAAGCCGAGAGAGAGAAAGCCACCGGCTTCCTCATGCTGGTCCTGAACGCAAGACACCAATGTGAAAGGGCCCAAGATGACCATCGCTACCTTCTCTCCCTTACGGAAAGCCGGAGGCTTTGCAGTGCCTGGGGAAGCCAAGGCATTACACCTTCTGGCATCACATGGACAATTTGCACGAGGGAGACTACATGAGACCAGGGTAAATGTTGTGTACTAATGATGTATTTGGCACATCTATGCAAGTGAAGATGGAAAAGTCCCTCAGCCAACACCGGGTCACTCCTCCTGTGCCGACATGCACGTCCTCATCAAATACATCATTAAACATAACAGCTACCGAACTCCCATTACTTCCTCTGGGAAATTATTATTGACATTAAGGCTTTCGCCCTGCATTGCATTTCAGCCCTCTCTCTGGTTCTCTCCTAGAAGGTGCCTCCAGGTACACGCCTTGTGCTAAGCACTCATCTGTTCTTGCCCATCGCAACCTTTATTTAACATTTGTTTTCACTGCAGTCCCCTCAGCCCTGGAGCACCCTGTTTGCTGGTCCCCTCTCCTGCGTCACTTAGTGACGCTCTGCCACAAACTCAAAATTTTCCAGTTGCATTTAATTCTTCAGTTTTTCCTAGCCTGCGTGACATTGGAGGCCAGGGGACAACGGCCCCTCTGGCCCCGAGGAAACCCTCTTCCGAGGAGCTCCTCCCTGCTCCCAAGGATACGCCTGTTCCCTTCCATTAAGGAGAAATGGGCGTTCCACAGTCAGGCTATTAATTTCTCTTGAAAAGTGTTTCTCGTGACATTCATCCTCCTCCTAAGCACAGGAGGTACCTTCAACAAGCGGAAAACTCCTGCGGGCTCCAGCTACCTGTTAAAGCCCTATAAAGATATTCCACATACTGAACAATTCAGTAATAGCTCTGCTTTAGTCCTCAGGTCATGTTAAACTATGCTGAAAAAACACAAACTGATGGTAAATATACAATTATGCTATTTGTGTAAATAAATAATAATAAATAATAATAATAATA